GCAGGTGATTTGCTGAACTGAAAAATTAATTCTGGGAGCCAAGAGAGAATCAACCTTGGGGCTACCTAATGGTCTCACTAAGATGCTTAGATCCAACAGACTAAGTTCTGACTCATACCAAAAAAAACCAAACCTCACTTCTATCAAGTCAATTCTGACTCACAGGGATGCTATATAGTTTGCAAGGCTGTCTGTCTTTACGGGAGCTGAGAGCCTCATCCTCCCAAAGAGCAGCTGATAGGTTTGAACTGCAGACCCTGCGGATAGCAATCAAATGTCTAACTGGTAACGCCACCAGGGCTCCATACAATGCCATCATTTCCCCCTATAAGAAGGGCATTAGAGAGGGATGTAACCAACTTGCTTCCAAAAGGAAATTATTACAAAGTAGGGGTGGTACAAAACGTACTGATTGTCAGCAATTACATTAATACACTGTGGAATCTAATCATTCATCATCGTGACATTTCTATAAGCATTAATCGCTCTTTTTCCCTCTCCTAGGAGCCCTGGTGGTACAGGGGGTTACTCGCTGGCGAAGGTCAGAAGTTCAAAATCACCAGCAGCTCCAAGGGAAAAAGATGAGACTTTCTACTCCATAAAGAGTTACAGTCTTGGAAACCACAGGGCAGTTCTACTCTGTCCTGTAGGGTCACTATGAGTCAGAATCGACTCGATGGCAGTGAGTTTTTCCCCCCTCTCCTGCCTACACTGGGGGTTTCCACGATTAAGCTTTGTTCTTTATACATTCATGTTTTCTTACCTTTTATATACGTGAGGTCATATAATATTTGAAAAAAAGTTCAACTGGTTCTATCTACTGTGGTAGATAGATATATTTACAAATACCTGCTTATTTAGGCCTGGAGGTGTAGTGTCATGGGGCATCCAATTAATCGGCATAATAAACTGGGATTATCTCAATTTGATGTATAGTGCCCAGGAACTTAAAAACTTGGTAGTGGCCAACCAAGGCCCAATGATTGGTCTACATCTGCCAGGAACGACAGAGGAGGGGGATTCGATAACAGGATGAAGATGTTGGATGTGGGGTAACTGACTCCACAAACAACTGTCTCCTTTGTCCTGAGACCAGAAGAATCTGCTGGTGTTCAGCTACCATTCCACCAAAGAATCCTGGATTAAAAAGGACAAAGCATCGAGCACAGAATTTCAAATCCTCATGGACTCCAGACTTCCTGGAACCATGAAGGTTGGGTGAACCTCTGAAGCTATTGTCCTGAGATAATCTTTAAGTCATAAACCAAAAATATGCCCAAAGTCTTCCTAAAACCAAGCCACAGGTTATGCTTAGCTAGAAAAAAAATAAATAAAAGGTCATGCTCTTTGACAGCAACAGTTTGAGAGATTAGAGAGCCTTCAGAGGCAGTGAATTTATGTCGATGGAGGAAGAATTCACTCAGAAAAGGGTGGTGAGATTGGCTACACTACCCAAAGAATGCCATCACTAAGTGGACGTGGAAAAACTGTGGAGTTGCTGGATTACTGTGTGTTCCCAACAACAAAATTAAACAAATTTTACAACAGGAATCAAAGTATGGGTGCACAGGAGTCCTGCTGGTTCGAGTCCTTCCAAAAGAAAATGTAGCGCTTCAGCAACTGCAGGCATTACATGCGATAATCAGACTTGGTGTACAGTCGAGGAAACAGGCTTCGAGAAGCAGATCACTTGCTAAAGGTCACCTAGCTTAACTTGGTTAAGGTAAGCCAGGCAATTGGAACCAGGGAAGTCAGCTGGGGCTCTACCCAAATCCAAGTATCATCTCTGTCATCACCTTGCCATGTCTTTGCTTCCAGAACTGCCTAATGAGGAGTTGTTTATAGCTTTCCCACCCTCACAAAAAGACCCAGAGAGAGAGAGAGAGAGAGAGAGAGAGAGAACTCCCCCATTACTACTTTGAGATAAGCTTTATGAAGAAATTGGGGGCAGGAAAGGGTAAGTCACTCTTACCCATTCCTAAAAGCCAGAGGGAAGTGGGAGAAACAAAAGATTCAGAAAGGTAGTGACTCTGTGACAATGGTGTAAGTGGTGGTTGCTTGCACTTAAATGACAAAGGCTGGCAATACTGTGGTCTAACGCCCCAGACACCGAAAGTATTCACAAGTTGAGTATGTTGCATCATTCTTTAAAAAACATGATGGCTATGCGTTTCTTTAGGAAATTATAATTTTAATGAAAAATTGGGAAATATTTTTTGTGACTAGATATGCAAATATACTTGAAGTATTTTTGAGTTTTAATTATGCAAGCCTTTTAAAAGTTCTGCTGTTAAAGCTGCTTATTTGTGAGGTGTCATTATATACTACCTAATTTTTTTGTTTTTTCTCATGTTAGAAGATGCGGCACACAAGACCAACAGCATAAAGCATCTACATTTGAAAACACACGTCATTGAGCCATAGGTATATTTACCTCTTGCTCTTGTCTAACTCCAAAAAGCATGATTTCAAAGATGCTCTTTAAATTCCCTCTGGCCACTATCCTGTGGTTTACTCCACCTTGTCTTCGGAGGGGAGGGAGATGGGTTGCTTTTAATTTTTTTTTCCCTAAATACAATCATTTAATTTTTATATAAGAACATTTAAAAATAAATTCTCACAGCACAGCTGCCGTTTGGGCAAGGAGGCAACCACACAGAGAGCTGGTGTTAAAGATCAGATGTAGCCCTTCGGCCCTGGCACTGGCACTGAGCACGGCCCGCAGCCATGCAAGAGTGATTTGCCATGCCTCAGAAGAGACAGGAAATAGAATTTATCTTCCTCTAATAACCTGCCTCCTCCCTTTCCTCCTGATCATGGTCCATCTGGCCCCAGGGTTGAAACGAGGAGGCTGGTACTCACAGAATGTCCAAAGATGAAACAAGGTGGGTACAGAACACCAAGGAGGCCTGACTTCCCTGAAGCAAGCATGCCTGGGGCCCACGCATTTTAAGGCAGCCACGGGAGTAGAAGGGGAAAGACTACAACGCAGGTCATCATATATCAAGCAAGTATTTCAACCAAGATATGCCAGGGGTGTCTAAGAAAACAACAGGGTGGCGAGATTGTGACCCCATAACCACCTGGCCTACAGAGGAAACAAAGGGGTTTCCAGAGTCTCCCCTCAGCTTTCTGCAACAAGGCACAACTTCCTGAGTCAATTAATTCCAGTTCAGTCTTGCTCACCACCACCACCCTCACCCTTTCTTTTCCTACGGAGCCCACACACAAACACCTAACTCTAAGAGGAGAAGCTACCTACTGGCCAACCAGCTCTAAGCAATAGCTTCCCTCCACCCACTTCTGCACACAGCCCACACATCCTGCAGAAATGTGGTGGGAGTAAGGTGGTAGGTAATAAAATCAAACTTTTCTTTGCCACCTTAGGGCATGACACCTCAGCAGTTAGATATTCTGTCTCCAGGTAGCACAGTTTCTTTAAAGAAAAAGAAGTACACACCACTGTGAATCAAAGGGCAGGCAGGCTTCCTTAAGAAATACAAATATACTCCTTCGATTCTCTTATTCGCCACTCAATTTAATCCACCCATCCATTGCTACTGGTGAACTGTGACAGGCTAGAGTACACTACTCCTTAGGTTTGCCTAAACCACAAATCTTCATGGAAGTAACTGGTGGGTTTGACTGACTGACCTTGTACCACCTACAGTCGAATCTAATCTAGACACTAGCAAATCCTGAGCAGCACTAGCTAAATGGGGCTGGGCTGGGTGGTGGTTTTGTAATCACTAGAGGTAGATTAGGAACAAGATAGTTTGTTTGTGATCTAGAGCACTTGCATTCAGGATGTTAACAGGTCCATGATTTGTGAATACAAAGAGGCTCCTTGGCTACATCTGGTGAAGGTACCCTTGGTTATTGAAGTCTAACCTAGCTCTGATCAAATAAGACATCCCCCAGGAATCCATGTATCTATAACACACATACACACACATTCAAATACTAGCTGCATGCTGACGTCAGCAAGTGCTCGCAGGTGGGCAGGTGAAGAAACACTCTCCTGAAAGCGGTGACACAACACACCCATATAGCAAGTGGAAGACTGCAAGGGGGAGGAGGATGAGGAGGAGTGCAATCTCAGGCTCAACACAACGCACTGTGGTCACAGGACATGCAGGTCCCCCAGTTGTTAGTTTCTTCCTTCTCACAGTCCAGCTTACCTGAGCAAAGGAAGAAGTAAAACTGATGTCTTACCAGCACTCTCATCTAAAACTTTGCAACTACCAAAGGCAAGTGAACAAACAAAAAGGAACAACCATCATAAGCAAGCAACCCCACACTAGTAACGTGTCTCCTCACATGTGTGCATTGGACGACAGTGTGCACTTTCACTGGTGGTAAACAAGAGAACTCTGACCCACATCCTGGGCCTGGCACCGGACAAAGATCCGCCAGTATCAGAGCCCTATTTTAAAAGGAGTGGTCCTAAGAGAAGTGAGACAATCCTTTATATCTTTTTGCAAATGCAGACGCAATATAAAGGTTTAATAGGGCAAAGAAAAGTAAGAGTTTTGAAAGCAGCTAGCCAAAAGTTGCATTTGTTTGCCTGCTACGTAAAGCCTTTCTATTTGATAGGCCTTCTGGTCACTTTCACACTCAATGAGACAAGTATAGCTCGGACTCTTGTCCACCTGGCAATTTCTCAACCTATCTTATTAGATGCCCCATGACACACAGACATCATTCAAGAAGCCACCATGTAAATGGCAGGAAAGTATCTTAACCATTGGATTTTTCATATAACACATTAAAAATCCTAGTGTATAAACACATTTAAAGTATAGCCAACGCACCGCACCCCCTACCCCTCAACCGGATGATAGTAAGGTGGAAAAATTGGAATGGGAACACCAAGTCTAAGAAATGCAACATACAGACACCAATCAGCTGACAGGGTCAGAGGCAGTTCCAACAGCCCTTGTCTGCAGAAGGACTAAGATGGCACCTTCGAGCCCAGTGCCTGAAGCCACCTGCCTTACCTCTTGGGACAGGAAAGGAATGACTTGTGCACAGATTGCATTCAGCCTCTTGACAATCTCTGCCTGCAAAAAAAGAAGAAAAGAAGAAAGCAATAAAAACAACAGTCACAGCTGGTTACAGAGCCCCAAAATATTAGCAGGATCATATTAAAACCCACTTTACATTCTGGCTGGAGTATTTCCTAAGGATGAGGGAAAACGATGTCATCAGTAAGCCCATTAAAAGGAGGTAGTGACAACAGTGCCACATTAATAGCACAATTTATTAACCAGTTTCCATCTGACAAAGTTAACCTTCAAGCACCAGGACAACATAAAAAGGAGCTTCATTTTTAGGACTGGAAGTCAATTTCCAAAAGCTTTCAAACAGGACTCTTGGCCATTCTAATTTGATTTTTCATAAAATCTTAAGCCTTTAGGGTTTAGATAATAAAAATATGTTCATCTTGACATCCCAACATCTCTCAGCTAATGACTCATTAGATAGCTGTATGCGTGGCCTTTGCTTTAAAAGTAGCTACTGGGATTTTACATTCACACCCCTCACCTCCCAAACCAAATGAGTTGATTAATTCATATTCTCAGTTGTAAACTACTGAGGCACAGGATGCTTTCTTTAACTGCACAGATTTCCCGGGTTAAGAGTGCATAGCTATTCCCCATCCACCTTATGGGTAACTCCCCCACTTGCCCTTTAATGATGTATAAATTTGCCCTCAGTTTAAAAGACTGAATCAAGCAGCACCGAACAAATTCCTCCACACAATCACCTTCACTTGCAGCCCATCCACCTTTTAAATCATAGGAAAGGCTTCAAAAGCCTTTTTCATGCACTAAGGTAATATTAAATAAAATAAGAACCGTATGTACCTATTCTGACTCACCTACACATTCCACTGAAAGAGTTAAAGACTCAGGGACATATCTTGTTCTCCTTCATAATCCAGGGAGATTGCCACCACCAAGAGTCATAATATGCTGGACTTTTAACTGAACTTACCAGAAAGCAATTTGTATGTATATAGATATTAACCTTAGGAACTTTAATTATCTTTGTACTATAGCCCTGCAAAGGTCCCAACCATGGCAAATATTAGGAAATACAGGATTTTAACCAACAGGACAAAGCTACATTACCTTTCAAAATCAAACAAAAAAACAAAAAACACCACCCACTACAGGTTTTCTTTGAGGACCTAGTCGGCATACAGTCACCAATGGTTTGTCTTTTCAGGAAGCACTTTACATCCCTGTGATATGGGAACACAGGTGTTTATCCACAGGCATACAAGGAGCTTGTATTGTCATGAAGAGTGCGAAAAGCAGAGGTGAGGAGTGCTGAGAGGCAGAAAAAGTAAAACAATTACTAGTCCTGAGACATTCTTAAAATAAATTCCACCCAGGGTCAGTCCCTCATTTTACAAGAGGACAAAAAAGCTCTTTTTTTCTTGCTAAGTCATTACTAGAATGACAGCAGCACTCTACTTGTGCAATCTAGGCTTCCTTCTTTCATCAGCAACCCTTTTGACTTGGGAGCTATGCAATCTTTTTTAAATGCCAGCACCTTAAAAACTTTGCCAGCCAACAGAAAACACAAATCCACCATGTAGTTTCCAAACCGAAGCTTTCTGGTCCTGCCTGCATTCCTGACAGGATGGACAAAAACTCAGCACCAATGAACATCTGTGAATAAGGACCCAACTGTGCTGACCCGATTTAATTTACTGCACCAGCCCCATGGAGCATTTAGCAATCTTTTAAGAATGCTTAAACCACCATGAAAAGCTGCAGTGGGAATCACCAAACCACTCTCCACCTGGACCAACATACCACAGTGGTTCTGGGGTAAAATTCCAGGGTGAGCTAAGAAAATAGAGTAGCATTCACCAGGCTGAAAGCACTGTCTCAAAGGCATTTGGTTGTTAAGCTTTTAGTATGGAGCGGTGGAAGGGGAGAAAATAAAAGATAATGAGACACTTTGGGGCAGACCAAACTGATGATTCTAATGCTTCGAACCATCTGCCAAGCATATTTTCCTCATTATGTTGTTTACATAAATAAAATAGTCCCTTGCTATGAGGGCTGAAAAAAAATGTGTGGGCACATAAGATAACTGAGTTCTTTATAGTTTGCCTACATGATCGCGGCGGTAAAAAAGTGTCTATGGAAACTCAACTCATCTGGCAAAAAAAGACCCACAGGGTGTCTGCACCTTCATTTTGGACCTAGACTATTTTAAGCCTGAGCAACTACTAGTGGAGAAGGATGAAAAACAGAGTCATCATTTTCGGAGAAATAAAATTTAATGCGATGAGTTTTTGTTTTCCTGATTCATGGTATGTTCACAAACATATAATGGAAAGGGGAGGGAGGAAATCTTACTAGTTTTTTTTTTTTAAGGTCACCTTTTGTTTAAAGGACTTCTTAATATCTTTAAGTTGTCATGCCAATGGATGTTCATGGTCAGGCTCATTGGCAGCGGGGGGTATAGGGCTGGTGGTGGTGTGTGTGTGCATACTTATTTCATAAAATTAAGCAGGTCATTCCTCACTTTGAAAGCTGTGTACATGTGTGTGCTGTGATTTCATAAAGTTAAGCAGGTCATTCCTCACTTTGAAAGCTAAAGTTGCCTCAGAAACACCGCGGCTTCCACGGTCATCTAATTTTCCCTCTTTTGTCCCATAGGGTCCAGCTTTAGGGAAGCATCATTTATTTACAGGCCTTTCCACAGGGCTTCAGTGATCAGCCAATAATACTGTGGACACACACTTCTAATGGCCTATGTTTTGAAACTGAGTCTAATCTAATGGTATGGGGCACAAACTCTTTTTCCAGCACAGCCATTAAAGGATGTAGGTTATTGCTGTTGTCACCATTGATATTTGTCATTGTAATGTAATTAGGGCCCTAAAATGATGCATTACAGCCTTTGGCACAGCTTCTATTAAAACCTTTTCTTCTGCTCACTGAACTGCGACCTGCTTTCTGATGAATAACAGACAGACAGCTTTAGGGTAAGGAGCAGATTCATCAAAGAAGTATTTTCAGCTTTGAGGAAAAGGGGAGGGGGGGAGGGAAGGCAACCCAGGAGGAAAAACACGTGGGGAGGGAAAGCCACAACACATTTGAATTTCATCTGACCACTTGAAATTCTGATTGTGTCTGATGAATCTTGCTTAGACAATATATTCCCAGTCTTCGAATCACATGGTTAATCAGGGCTCTAATCTGCTATCCATCAGCCTATGCCAGCACTGTAGCTTCCAATCAAATTTATAGGTGATGTGGGTCATGCATCCCTGAGCAAATACATTCACCGAGATCCCATTTAAACAAGCACAGATTCTGAAATACTGCTGTTAGGGTTACTGCATGTTATCATGGAATTTGATGCTTTATGAGCACTGCCTGTAGATGTTCCGGATATTCCAAAACTGTATTAATGTCCCCAATAAAAGGACAACTGCTTAGGTCATAATAAAGCAAAAAGATCATTGTTGTGGCCATACTTTGTCAAAAACATTAACAAACACTTTATCCATCAAGAAGACCTTCATTTAGAAAAAGTCTCCATGCCAAAAGTCTCATGTGTGATATTTCCCAACCTCTATTTCCTCTCAGATATCATTCTGTTCAGCCGACAGTGTCTCATTGTTACTGAGAACGCACCGAACCCATCGCCAATGGGTTGGTTCCTACTCAGAGTGACCCACCACAACAGAGCAGAGGTGCGGGAGTAGACAGCCTCATCTGTCTGAGGAGCACTTCGGTGGCTACCAGTCCAATGCTGAATTTCCTTACTGTCCAGCAGAGAGCACATACACAATTATGATACACCACCCACAGTTTGGCCAAAATAGTTGGGGGGGATAAGGTTTTATGTGCAGAAAACACACAAATAATACACATACACACATATAACATGTATTTAAATATGCATTATATATTTAAGGAGAGACATTCCTTCAAAACCCCTTGGCTACACAGGTACCATGTGGCAGGCAAATGAAAGCCAATGAGCAGGTTTTAATACCGTGGTGATGGAACAGCAGTCTAGCAGTGTAACCAAAACCAAACAGCCACTGCCAATGACTCAAATTAATTGACTTACAATGATGCTCTAGGGCAGAATAGAACTAAATCTCTCCTAGGAGAAATGGCTTTGTCCAATCCATAGACAATACAGTTAGTAGCAGAGCACTTTAACCACTGTGTCACCAAGGCTCCTTGTAAAATGACTGATTAGTAATTAAACAGGAAAGCCCTGATCAATTTTTTCTTCACTCTCTACCTCAAAAGTCATTGGAAAATTTATTAGCTGCCTGGTATAATGAAAAAGCAATAACATACATTAAAAAGAATTCCACAATCAGATTACTAGATATAAAGGGTACACAAAAGTAAATATTTATTTTATCACCTATAACCAATTTTATGTCATTTAAGTAAGACAAAAACTAGTAAGCCTACGCTTGAATTCAATTACATCCTCTGAAATAGTCTTTATATAATAAAAATCTAATTTTTATTTTGAACATGGCTATTTGTTTTCCTTTTAAAATCATGAATCAACCTTACTTTAACAACACAACAGCCTTCAGAGAAAATGCCAATATCTTTCCTTTAGCAATCAAAACAATGTATCACAAGTGATTGTTGGCTTAAAAAAAGGTTCCTGAGGTTTTCAGCTTCATCCAAATAACAACACTATCTATGGTGTGCCTCTTGAAACAAAATGCAATAACAAGAAAACTACTAGAAAATTATTCCAGAAGTCTGACCTCTGCACCCAAAAAAAAAGCCACAGGAAAAAACCCAAAGAATATTATTTCATGATTAATTTTTTTCTAACAGTTTTCTTGGCAAAAAACAAAACAGTTTTTAAATGATGGATCTACTTCACTATTAATATATAAACTCTTATATATGTATATATATAAATAAACATTCTAAGGGGGGGGAAGGGAAATTCCTATTTATCTTATGGGAAATCTTTTTTGGAATAAGTACAAATAACTCTTGTAATCCCCTGTGGCGCACACCTTCCTTGTGCTGACTTCACT